TGTGTCCGCAGCCGGACCTCAGCTACCATATTTGCATATGTTTGCTACATGGTAAACCCTGCTTTGTGCCTTGAAGTTTGAAGCCAATTATCTCTCACATAAAAGACTCTAATGTTTAATTAAGGATAAAACCTGCCTCCTTTCTACCACATATATTTCCGCCCAACCAAGCTGCTTACATACTGTGCAGTCACTAAACAATATTTGTGGCTATTGTCTCTCAGATAATACACGCTAATAACTCTGCATGATAAAACCTACCTTGTTTTTTTCTGTTTAATGCCTATTCAACTGCCTCGGTAGAGTCTTGACCTTAGCTAATATCTACCAAACACATGCCTGAAGTCTATATTTTGAATTTTTGGGGATTAATTGGGGATCAGCAGGTAAAAATAAAGGAGAAAACGTAAAGAAAAATAAAACCAATGCAAGCACCACATTTATAGATTGTTAAGCTGCTATGTAATACAATTTTGCTTTTGGGTTTAGAAACACTCTCAGCCAAGCTAAAGATAAAATTAAAATGATCAACTACACATCCAAAATATATGATGCCATGTCGCTTACATGGTCCATGAAAAACTGTACTGTTCTGTAACACATACACTTTAAAGGCATCTACCAAGCATGTCATTTAAAGGACATTATTTTCTTGTTAAATGTCCGCAATAACAGTGCCTAGCTCACCATGCCCTTTTTGACAATCCATTGGAGTTAAATGGAGTTTCATGCCAAGTTTGGGTTTTGCAGACTTCAAGCAGGATTTTTTTATTTACTTCAAGACATTATCCTTTTTTGGGTAATTTTCTGGATAATGTATTAACTATGACAAAAGTAAACTGATGTTTTTCTTTAACTACTTGTTGCCCACAGATAAATAATGGTCTTGAAAGGAAAATGACCAAGAGTTTCACTGAAAACTTTACAAAGCAAGGTGACTGATATAGTTATGATTTGTTACATTATACAATTTACCTAGTCGATTCCTTTACAGCCAGTGGACTGGGGACAGTTTGCTTCACTGACACCTCCTTAGATGCCCAGTCATTTTCCCAATGGTCTCTTGTAGGCATACTACATATGGCACTACTCCAGTTAACCCCAATATTAAAAAAACTTACTATTTCAAGACATTGTCACATGATTAAGACAGGTTAAGAAGTGCCTTATCCAATTGGGAGTTCTTCCGCCAGGCCCCCCACGCAGATGCCCATCACGTCTACCTCAATTTTCCCCCAGGGCAAATGCTCCGTGTTGAGTTCAGTTCAGCACGTGTCATTAATGTGGGAGGGTACAAGGAACCAACAACTCAGCAGCAAGCTACCCAACTAAAAAAATCTCATGTAGTGGTTTCAGCACGCGGTCTGGTACCAAACCGAGAAATTAAAAGGCATGTTGGTTGGGCTAGAAATTTAGTCATTTTAGATGCAAGAAAATCACCCACTGCTGTAATTACGAACAGTTGTCTTGACAAACAGTTTGTCATGAAGATGGGAGACCAACATAACCTGCCCTGACTCGCTTCTTCAGGATCCAAGTTGAGAATTATGTTATTAGTAATGTAGCTGGTGAAGGTTGAATGTTAATCATTTGTTTGTCTGCTATACATACACTTTTCTCATGTTTATATATCTCTAACCAACCAATGTGGAGCTTTACTGCACTATTATAGTGATGGTTTAATCTTCTGATGATGTGTTCTGATTGTGATTTTCCCCCGAGAACTGTAAAGAAAAATGCAATGACACCATATTATTGTTTAATACACAATACACTATATGTTAGATATATCATCTCTCCCTGTATAAAACTTGTCATCGCTTCTGCAGATCAATAGTATGTCAAACGCTGCATTAAAATTATGGGAAACTTAATAAAATGAATATGCACAAAAAGATGAGCAAGGGGTGCTAAGTGAAATGTTTAAATAAATAAAGTGCATTGCGCTAAAAAAATCCTAATATAAATACCTACGTGCATTCAATACATTACATAAATTATTTAATACATAAGTTATCTAGATCAATTCATCATAAATTTATGTATTGAATGCACGTAGATATTTATATTAGGCTTTTTTTAATAGTGCACTTTACTACCTTATTGAGTGTTTCACGCTTAAAACACAGCAGCTTTTATAGCTTTCTTTTGGTCTTCCATAGCGCAAATTTAGTTTTCGATTTTTACGTGAAATGTTTGTTTTATTCAGTACTGCAATAAAAATAATGTGAACATCAGTATGAATCAGCATTAATGTGTCAGCCCTGGTTCTTTCTAATATGTCTCCCTTAAGAACTCCTCCCTTCCCAATCCAGGAAATATAAACACGAACATGTGCACATAATGCTCATGTGTACAAGCTCTACAGTGAGCATCCCTAGTTTATATGGAGGCATTCCCATATCTCCCTCTTCCAGTACAACGTAAGAGGTTAACAGCTTGTGTTATATTTGGTATTCAGCCCAAGGCATTTCTACAGTCCAGTAAGAAGCACAGCAGTTGTATTAGACGAACAAAGCGTGGGTGTATTTATCACATATGCAAATGATCTGTTTACATAGAATTATATTTCATTAAACAGTTAATATCACAGCATAACTCTGATTTGTTTGCGAATGTGAATTTATACTTCTAATAGTGACTGTAGTATTTACTCATAATCTTTTCCTTTCTACTACTTAAAGTTACACTATATTTTTTTAAATCTTAAAAATGTGTTCAAGTATCTTTACTGTTAACAACAATGTATCTTATTTGCGTATCACTCAGCTGCAGATCCTCAAATTATCTCTGAATTAGTGCTGACACTGTTCTTCCTTCTGGAAGGGGGGCTACTTTAGTTTTCCATGGTTCCTGTGTGTGTTGTAAAGTATCCACCACTTCAAGCTCACTCCCGTAATGGACTACAATCTCACGTTTAGTTTACTATTTGTATTGAAATTATAGTCTATCACGGAAGCGCGCTTGGAACAGTGGTTACTTTACAACACACTGTAACAAGGACACTCCACTTTAGACCGGAGGTGCAAGTAAAATGCAGTTTATTTAGGGCAAACACAAATATATAATTCCATCCACAGGGTAGACCTCCCCTGTGCACAAGACGGTTTCTAGCCGCAACATAAATGACAGTCTTTTCGCTTAGCTCGGTAGCTTTCCACAGCTTCAAGACACTCACGCTGCTCACCCCTCGTGAGCCCTCACTCTGCTCTCTTAGCAGTCTGTACCACAGGTCCTAGGGTCACCGACCTCCCTGACCTCTCCCCTCGTGGGCACTCACTCTGCTCTTTCAGCAGTGCGTCTAACTGGTCCCTTGGGTCACCGACCTTCCTGACCTCTCCCAGCCACCCCTGGCTGTTCCTTGTGCGTCCAGCAAGCACCCGAGTTTGTCTGTGTCCGTGTGCTCCCTGCACACACACAACTCCAACACTCCTCTGAGCACTGGGCTGGCTTCCTAATGAGGCTGCTCTCAGCCACCTGATCAGCCCAAGCTGGTCATTGGCAACACCTGGCCCCAGGACTGGAGCTCTCATCCCACCCAGAGCTCTACAAAATCTCCAGAGCTCCAGATCCCAGCTACAATTAGGAAAACCTGGACGAACCTGAAAAGCCAGGCTCTTCCTTTTAACATGTTTCACATTCTGGACCCTCTCAGCCCCTTTGGCTGAGAGTCCTGGGTGCCAATGTTTCCATGCTACGTCACGGCATTGCCATGCACTGCCACAACACACAGGGACCATGGGGAACAAAAGTAGCCACCCTCCAGAAGGAAGGATAGTGTCAGCACCGATTCCGAGATGATTTGAGGATCTACAGCTGAGTGATACACAAATAAGTTCCATTTTTGTTGATAGTTAAGATACTTGAACACATTTTTAAGATTTAACTCCGGAGTTTTTAGTGTTACTTTAATAATAAAACATTATTTATTTGCAAATGTGTTGAAGACATTGAAAAAGAAAAAATAATTTTATAAAAAATATGTTTTCCTGTGACTGGCTTTACACTTTTGTTTAATTTCTCAAGTAAAGTTCCACTTTTATTAGCAGTAAAGACCAAAAGGTCTATATAGTTAAAACAACTGTTTTAAAACAATATGCTTTCTTGTACTTTATAGTAAAATACAGGTGGTAGGGTCACCCATACAACCATTCTTTAGGATGGTGGTAATGCTTACAACAGCTCCACCACTCAACACACACTCAAAGCATTCTGCTGTTCTCATTCAGGTTTTAAAGAAATCAGGTTTTGTTCTAGCTGGTTAAAACATCTGCACGTAGAGCCAGTTCTGCATTGAGTTTTTATGTTTTCTCTTTTTTTGAGTGTGTTTGTGACAGCTAAAAGTGAGAAGTGCTTGACAAGCGATAGGCAGTACTGGCAAAAGGATGTAAACATCCCAAACTGGAGATAAAGTGGGATTCTAAAGGCTTAAAGAAAACACTTGCTGAAAGCAAATGCTATATAAAAGCTTTCTGTAAACACTACTGTTCTACAAGCTAAATCCTGTGTGTACAAGACTTTAAACGGAATCTGTGATAAGGTCAAATAAGTCTCAGATGGAAGGTGCCACTCTATGAATTATAGAATGTATACCACTTCTAGGCCAGTAGTTGTGTGCAACCTTGTAGTCAGGGAATGACTGTCTCAAATAGAAATGTAGATTTTGTTTATTTCCGAATGGATATTCGTATGAATTTCATTAACTTCAGACATTCGGATGCATGCAAGTTTCTGAATTTAAACATGTCCGAATGCGAAGGAATCCGAATGTTCGTTTTGAATGAAATTCAGATGGAATCAGACATGTGACTGTTCTGTGGCCAATCAGATTTTTTTTAGGCTTTTAGGGGTTGCATTACAGGCAAGGTCATGTAAAATTCGTTCTGAAACAAAAATTCAGATAGTTCCAAAACTAAACCTCAAAACGGATCCGAAATCCAACTCTTTAGGGTAATGTAAAAAAGGAAGAACGAGCAATAAATCTGTGTATTTATTTCTAGTAAACAGGAAGCAGAAGACTTGGAAACAGAATTATTGGAAGATTACCGTTTTGGGAAACAGCAGCTTATCGAAATAATGGGGCACAGCTGTGCAATAGCCATAACAAAGGTATGTTGTTTTGACAGAACAAAGCCAATGTATTTTTACAATGTTTTTAAAGACATTTTATGTGTCCACATATTAAAAACTCCTCATAAAACATGTCTAACTATTTAGGTAAAGTACTTCGAAGCCACCCAAAACTATGTTTCAGTGAGAATGGGGTGGGATTAAAACCTCCATCAGGCTTTTTATTGCTCCTTATGTCTGAATTTGGAAGGTTTGCACTCATAACAGACAGCAACAGAAACTGAGACAGGAAATAAGGGTAAATCTCCCTAGGCGGTCACAGACAGCAAACCTGAGAAATACTTGGGATTATGTCTCTTCACTTCCTGCCCTATGTGGCACAAATAATCAGGAAGTATGGGGAATCTCTTTAATAAGGACATCAATAAAAACCTCAAATGTGCATCAACAAAGATGGGCACCAAACCAAACAAATAGCAAATTCTATAAAAAGATTTTATCGTTTACAATTGGATCAACTTGATAAATCGTCCAATGCATTTCAGGGGGCAAACACCTCATCCTTCCTCAAGGCTTAAAAATTAAGATGAAAACTTAAGGACTTAAAGTAACAGCCACAGAGATCTTAGTTTTGTATGAAGAAAAGTCTTCTGGTGTGTGCAGTAAGAGTGCAGTAGGATATACACTATGCAAATTACATCCAGTTCTTGATGAACCGGCAAAAATTTGCACAACCTGACAAGGATACTGAAACTATTTTCAACTGTATCCAAAACTTTAAAAAACATTTTGGGAAGACTTCTACTTTAATATTTCTTGTAAGCCATATTAACATGTGGGTATACTGGCATATGACCTATTCTCTTTCAAGGTTGACCATTTAGGTGTGTCCTATTGTCTAGCACAGTGGTTCTCAACTCGTGGGTCGCGACCCAAAAGTGGGTCGCGACACCCTCTGCAGAGTCTAGCAGATAACCTAATAATCAAATTTTTTGGATCCATCTAAATATACTCTTTATACTGTGATTATTTTTTGTCATGTGTTGTATATAACCCATCCAGCATTTCCTTTAGGCTTCTTTGTATTTTAAAGTGACCGTTAGTATAGAGCAGTCTGGACTGACAGTCTTATAACTCTGGTATTTGCCTGTGGGTGAATCTTAATGCAAGTATTCCCAGGCCTGTCTAAGCTCTTGTAGGTTGTCCATCATTCTTTAGCCCAGTTTTTATCAAACAGCAGAATACCTGTAAAGTACCACTTATCCTTGTAGTACAACCAATCCTTGAGTACTGCAACAGTAATAAGTAAACTTGGGGGTCTATTCACGAAGCTGCTGAGGGCAGCCGAGTGAATGACCGATCTGAAGTGAAGTGAGCCGAACAATAGCTACGGCTAGATCCTTCGGCAGCTGCGTGAATACCCCTTGGTGTCAATACATAATTGCTTCAACAGGCTTGACGAAGTTTGCTTTTCTACACAAATGTGAACTGGTGTGCTATATAGACCAGGGTTGCACTAATCTGTAGAATAAATGTAAAAGAGTTGTAGATATTGTAGTTTTTCTTTACAAGCTGGACATTTTCATATGCAAATATCATGCATTTGTATTTCACATATGCCTTATATTGGAGTCCAGTCATATACTGAACTCTTGAATGCATGATGATTTACCTTCATGGTCATGTCACACCAGTAATACCGAGGCTTTCAGGGAGCAGGTACAGCACTTATCTGTTCCTACAGCATCTGTCCCTCACTGGCTGAATCACTGAGGTGCTTCCTTCTGCTCCCTTGCTGGTGAGCAAGATTTTGCAGCTTTTTGACCAGTGTAGGGAAGCAATGCCTTAGGAGCAGGAGATGGCTCTTTTCATACGTGTTGCTGACATGTTTCTGCCAACAATAGGATCATTATGTGGCATGGTGCTTAGTCCTCCTATTCACATGCCAATCACCGAATGGTATCACAAAGGTCACACGTTCCTTGAAAAAAAATCCTTGCTGTACTCTGTAGATAACTATTTTCTCATTTGCAGGTGTACCCACTGAAAACTCTTTCTAAGAAGCAACCAACTGTTTTGATTATCTGTGGTCCAGAGGAGAATGGTGCTATTGGCCTTGTCTGCGCTCGAAACCTTCGTACTTATGTAAGTGTATTTATGTGAGTGGAGTGGTAAAATCTGGGAAATAATATAGAAATAGGAAGGCTGGGTCTTTTCTTTTCTTTTTCATTTTAACATTTGGAGTTTAACATACTTGAACTCATGCATAAAAAAAGTTATAGTGTTTAAATTGGTGTGAATCGCTATTCATCTGTCTGCTTTAAACCTGCCCAAGGGACAAGGGAGAAGAAATTATTATTTTGCTCAGGCAAGCTCTCCACATTCTCTCAATTTTGCTAGGGG